TTTGCTTAAAATCTAAAGTTAAACAACCAACTCCAAGTCACTCGGATAACTTCATCCATTACTTAGTCAGAATCCATCTACCTCAGCTAGCTGATTCGATGTGCTTACCAAGAAACAACTGAACATTTTCATCTTAAAATTTAGTACTCAAGTACGTGAGCTATTTGCAGGTTGAAATCAATCAAAAACCTGGAATATACCCGAATAAGAGTTCTTTTTCAATTCCTACCTCACAATCCACCAAAAATCATATCAACTCACCAAAAAACGCTTTTCAATTCCTATTTCAAAAAAAACATCGCTGACTCAAGTAGTGGATTCTAGGTTTCATTACAATTATATCTAACTGATTATTTCCCACTTGGAATCAAAGATAGCAACCAAATCTGACTCTCTCAAATAAATTTTTCAATTGCCAACTCAAAATCAACCACTAACTAACTAACTGAGCTGGGCTTCAGCAGCTAAAGTTTCATACTCAATCACTAAATCTAACCAATTGAAACAGCTTACCCAAAGCATGATTATTCAGATAAGTTCTGTGCTTCATAACTCAAAATCCGCCATTCAACTAAACACGGGAAACGCAGCTAGCTAACCAAAACTAACCAAATCAAAAGTTTTTCAATTCGCAATCCAAAATCAACAGGCAAATAACTAAATCTAAGGTAGCCTTTAGTATTATTTGCTTAAAATCTAAAGTTAGACAACGAACTCTAAGCTTTTTCGATTACTAAATGTATCAAAAAACAAGTAAACATTTCTATCTCAAAAATTTAACGCTAATTATTTGTCGGTTGAAATAAAGTTTGGAAAAATTAAATAGAACTTCGAATATACCCAAATAAGTGTGTTTTTTCAATTCCAATCTAAAAAATCGCCAACAAAGAACAGTGGATTCCGGGTTCCAATAAAATTATATCTAGCTAATTCTTTCCAGCTGGAGTCAAAGATATGGCAACCAAATCTACTTCAAATTTATCAGTTGCCAACTCAAAATCAACCAGTAACTAACTGAATCGCGCCGCAGCAGCCAAATTGAGCTCAGTCCATTTTAAAATAGCCAAGCGTCATGTGGCCGAATTAAATTCTAAATTTTTCGCGCCAAAGCGACAACGCGGCGACAACGGAGAGGCGGACCGAAAAGGAATCCGTGCGCCAAACGGACCGGACCGTAACTCATTCGAAATAAAAGAAAAGGAAAAATAAAAGGACGAAACAAACGAACGTCGTCGCGCCGCTTCGCGGTCAATGTAAAACAAATGTCACAGATAAGGCGGCCGTGTAAACTGAAGCCAACATATGTAGGTATACGTGTCCGCGGATGCTTGGCCAGATGAATGGGCCCGATAAAAAAATTACCTGCCTGCCAGAGAGGGCCCCGGAATTTCGTCGACGCGGACAGAGATTTTGGCGTTTTTCGGTTTGGACCGCCGCGATTACAATAATGGCCTTTGAAATGGACGGTTCGATGTTTGTATGTGTGTATTTTGACGTCTACAGACTACCGAACCGTTCCAATAAACTTACCAGTTCTTGTCACTCGTTATTCGATAATATGGAACTTGGATAGCAATAAACGAAAGTATAAAAATAGGCTAACTAATTAGACTTAGCTACTTCAAAACTAGACACTCAATTTAGCTATCAGAACCATCCCAATAAACGAAAGTATAAAAATAGACTATCTAATTAGACTTAGCTCTCAGCATCTACCTTCTAGCTAATTTCAATGCGACTTAGCTATTTCAAATCTAACTAGTGGATTTAACATTAAGAACTTAAGAATTATGTATAACTACTCGACTTAACTCTTAGAATTCTCATAATGAAAAATAATAAATAATAATAAGAAAAAAAAGGATTTCCCTCTCAATTAAAAAACGGATACCGTTCAAAGAAGGGAGAAAATGCGAGCAAACCCTGAAAAATGCGTATTATATTGATTTTAACCAAACAAAAAAATTAGTAGAGGAATTTTGAAATGACATTTGAAAAAATCACGAAACAACTATAAATATATGTAATGCAGAAACTCAAAGAAAAAAGCAGAAAAATACCATGAAAAAAAAAAAAGAAAGCAAGGACTACAATTTGGACGCAAAAGAAAGAACGCCCGAGAAAAAAATAGTTGAGAGGAAGAATCTTATAAAATTTAATTATTTTTTTTTATACTAGTGTCCCATATGATATGATGATATTTTACAAATATTATTATTTGGGCGATTTTAGTTTTATATGATATATGTTAAATTTCTCGCCTTTGTAATTTTTTAAATTATTCTCTAATTCATTCCACATTTTGAATATCTATTAATGTAAAGGGTTTTGGATAGACAGCAGCTCTGTGTTTAACTTCAAAAATTTGAGTTTTCTTAGTTCATACGATCAGTAAATTTGTTAACTTGGATGTACCTGAAAACTAACTATGTCACTCAATTCTCAGAATTAGCTAGTCCATTTAACTGACGGAATGCTCGAGCTTTTAATACTTTTTGTTTGGTTTAGCTATATAACCAAACCGCTGGACGTCCGGAATTATAAGCGCCAATAAAAAACTAAACTACTTCGATTAATTAATAAATAATAAATTAATTACACTGGGCACCCACCTAGCTAATTAAAACTGAGTGTTTTGAATGCTAAATTTTTCTTTTTCTTCTCCTCATTCGTCTAGCTAATTTGGTAGTAATTGGTATCGTTATTAAAAACGTTATTAAAAGCTAAAAATGAGCGCTCAGCTTTCTAATTTTTCATGATACTCGAATAAACAAAAAAAAGTCCTGACTTAGATAGGAATTAGCTTCGGCGATGATCTGATGGCAGGAATAGTATATCCCGCAAGAAATCCGGGCCAAAGACACGGAACCGTGTTTCAAAAAACGGATTTTGATCAAATCCGGGCAAAATTTCGTGCGTCACACGCAAGCATCCGCTACGGGGTGACTCAAGAGGCCTGCCCGGATTCGAAGAAACCTCTCAATGGGGATACGAATTTCGCCTGTCAGACGTTTCGGAATTCTAGCGCCATGGGCCAAAATTTCGTAAACTGAATGAATACGCGGCGTCCCGTTTGATGCCGTCTTTCTCGGAAATCGCAACCTTTTTTTCTTCTCGCTGTCTCTCTCGTTCGTTTGTCCGTGTTTCGTGTGGCGATCGATACGCTTCGGGAACGGCCAGCGCGACATCCCGACGCGGTTCCTCTCGATTTTCGAGAAAAATGTCGACGGAGCGAAGAAAACATTACGGACGTATAATTTTTGTTAGCGAACGACGGCGTATGGGCCCCGCGTCCGAGCCTTGTGACCCCCATAAATCGTCTCACTCTCTTCGGGTTGTTAAATTCCTTGGGAATTATTTTGTAGATCGGCGAGATAGCGAGAGATTTTTTTTTGGTTTGGTTTGCCGGCCGACGACGTCTATACAGGGCGTTCCAATTTCGACGAATCGGAAAGTTTTCTTTTAACTCAATTTTCGTTCTTATTTTTGAAACGATCTTCATAATGAAAACACAACGATACAGTGACTGTAAGTATAGGAAACTTTTTTTTAGTTTTTATGCCCAAAAGTTATTCTTAACAAGAAAAATTAAATATTTACACAAATATAACATAAACAAAACAAAAAGAAGCAAAAAATAGTTTTAGTAGTGAACAAAATTAATGAAATAGACACTACAAACAAAATACAGATAAGAAGAGACAAAAAACAAAATAACCAATCTGAAAAAGGAATAACGTGAGTGCTCTTCATATATCAAACGTGTAGATTAAAGCGTTAAAAAAAAAGAAAAAAAGCGTAAAATTTGTATTTTCTGTGAAGGGAGGTTCCCACGAGAAATTCCACTTTCGGGGTATACACCATCAATTATACAAGTCGTCTTAAAACTTTTATTTTAATGTTTCGACCTTTTTTCTTATAAAACTCAAAATACATTTCCAATGTTAAAATACTTTCATTACACTATTCTTTCCAGGCACAATTATTTTGTGCTTTTATTTAGTTATTCTTCGTTTGCAATCGAAAATGTTTTATTTTTCCATTTAAATTTATTTCTACTTTTAGACATATTTGTATAAATTTCTTTATACTTAGAATTAGTTGAATTGATAAAAAAGAGGAACACAAAATACATAGAACAATGGCATGGAACTTAGTCTAAAGTAGTCTAAAGCCAATCACAAAAAAAACAGCATTTCTAGATGTTCATCTGCGTCCATATACAAATTAGAAGTAGAGATTTAATTTATTTATCTATTCAATGAAAAAGGGCCTTTTCGAGATATATTTTGCCTTATATTTTCGTAACTATGGAATAGTTGACATTTTTTTGAATACAGGTGAAAATACTGCTCGCAGGTAAAAGGTTTATGTACGTATTTTTAAACGAAAACATAAAAGAATCCAGTGCATACATGAAATTAAGAATATTATTTTCCACAAAAACAAATCCAGAACTATCGTCATTCCATTCATTCCATGTAGAAGCAAATCCTGTCCAAATCAGAAAACTTATCACAAAATAAAAGTCAATATCAATGTCTAGATTGCTGCTTACATTCGCAAGTACATAGCAGTATTTTGCTAAACTTATTACTACACGTTGGTCTCCTATGAAACCTATATCTATTTTAAGTCCAAGAAGGAAATATACTCTCTACGTATGCCACACTCAAGGCATTGGTTAAGGCATCGAGAGAATCGAAATCATAATCCTGTATTACATTTCCTTTACCAAGAATTTAAGTTATTTCATCTGCATACAACACAGCATATTACCGAGTTATACTACACGGTTCATTTGGGAACGTAATAAAACACAAAACTGAATCTGAACTTAAGTAGCGTACATAGGTATGAGCCCTAAAGAAGTGATAAAAAAATTATAATAGATAAGTCTATATAACTAGACATAATGGCCAGGCCATTGAGTATACTCTGAGACCTACATGGGAGGTTTATACGGTTCTAAGTATCATATTTCGCCAGTTTCCACTCACCTTTTCAGGATCCTCTCGCCTGAGTGCGTCCTGCAACAAAATAAACGAGGTTACATTTTTAAATCGGCAAAAGAAAAAAATCGTGAAATTTTCAATAAACGTCGGGTGTCGAGAGATTCCTTTTCTGCTCTACCGAGTCATCCAAAGTTGTGATGACTTCGCGAAAACGAAAAGTTTCTTGAGTCCGCGGAAAATCAGAAAACTATACCGCGTGTACATAAGAATCAGTCATTGTTACGACTCGAGATGGTAATCTGAGGAAATACCGACATTTTTTTTTCGTTTCGGACGGCTCAAGAATTAAGCGACCGCAAACGAGCGTGATTCGCGATTGTTTCATATCAAGTGTTACGCAAAAAAAAGCGGTGAATCATCGGGGACAACGTCAGCGACCGGATGTCCCAAATTCCGATATTCCCGGTTGAAATAAAAAAAAAATGCTAATTTGGACAATTAGCACCAAGGCATTTATTTCTAAGGCAAGACTATTTCTGGCGGCCGTATCGAAAATTAATAGTATGTATCAGTTTCAATGACAAACACAAAAAGAGAGAGAGAGAGAGAGAGAAATGTGCCTATTACTTTGTATAGAAAGGGCACTCCTGCCCTTTCTATACAATTTTGTATTTGTAAATGCAACGTAAATTACGTTGGATTTTGAATATTTAATATTGAATATTTGTTTCTATTGTTGGTAAACTTGGAGGCGCGAAGTAAATTTCCCTAATTATATGCATTAGAAAATATTATATTACTGGTTATTAGTTATGTTGTGGGTAAATGAAACGTATGTTATACGTTTCGGATTCTAAAAAACTACGTAGGTATGGATACTAAAAAAATGTTATATCATGCTAATTTTGAACGTCATATTAGATATGGAAGTATGAGAGCTGCAGAGACATTGAAAAAGTTCTAGAAAGGTCTAGAAAGTAGACAGCCGTGCAGAGGAAGGTTCAAAGAACTTAATATCTTAACAGTAACTGCAGTGTTCATACAGGAGTGCGTCGTGTACTTTTTAAAAAATTGATTCTTTTTTACTCCTAATGAATCACAATTTGTTTATGCAACACGAACACAGAATTTTAGTTTTCCTCACCATCGACTCACAAGGACTGAAAAGTGTCCTTATCGCAGGCGCATAAAAATATTCAACAACATCACGGAATGGATGCAGAAAATTTGAGCTGTTAAAATCTTAAAGAAAGAAATTTTTAATATTCTAGGCAGAATGGAACCATACATTATGGAAGAGTTTTACACCAAGATCACAAAATTATTGCTATAAATATTGTCATTTAGACTCTATTTAATGTATGTACATATACTTTAAATAAAGATATATTATTATTCTTATGTTGCACTTTTTCTACGACCATTAGTTTTTGGGTGTATTTTTGTAAAAACCACATCACCGTCAGAATTGACAAACGTTAAAACTGAAGCCGTGCGGTAAAATCTCCGAAATAATCCGATTGCTCCCAAACCCGAGCGATAATATCGCAGAAATGTCCGAAGTGGCTCGAATCCTCGGGACAAGAAACTCAGTGACGCGTCACGCAGGCTAGATCGGTGTATAATTCGGTTTTTTTTCTACTCCCGTCTGTAAAATGCCTAATTATACATCGATTTACCGTGCGGGAAGCGTCACTTTACCACATCAGTTTCGTTTCCCACTTATCTGAGGCACTTCGGACATTTCCGGGATTTTATCGCACAACATGACGATTTAAAATTGTGTTTATTCCGTTGTTTAGATGACATATCCAATAATACATGGCTCTCTGTCTACCGTATACAATTAAAAATAGACAACAATAGCAGAACCGATCGGAACGACAAACGAATAGGTTTCGTGGCAACTAGTAAATATTTTGTTAGAATGGTACGAAATTTAGTAATCCAATAATCTGTTATTATTTTTAATTTGTTAAATTGTAATTTTTTCGTGACGATCGTAGAAGAGTATAGTATGCAAAACGTGTGGTAAACTCTTTATCTCACTCATTTATTAAGCACTCGCTCCGCTTGTGCCAAATAAACTCGTGAGTCAAATTACCGCACTTGTTGCATAATATACAGTTACAGTTACAATATATTCTCATTCTTTGTTACATCGTAATTCCTCTAGAGTTCGTCCAAATTGAAATTCCTTCACACACACAATAAGTCCCCTGCAGTTTATCCTGCGCGTGGTACAATTCGCACAGCATATTCGTAATAATACGATACGAAATTCGGCATCTCTTTGCGCACGGTTGCACAAGGTTGCGAGATGACCGGGAAGACACCGTTAAACGGATACACCGCCGATCAGGTAAGAGTGCGAATTTCAGACGCCGCAAAACTAATATCATTTCTCTCAAGGTCGTTCGCGTTCGTAACGGAACGCGTCGATTTCGCAATCGTCCGAGACTTACGCGGCGAAAACAAACGAAAAACGGTGAAACATTTGCGAAAAATTGCCTATCGTTAGATGATTAACGCCAAAGGCAAACATTAAATGCTTAGCGAGGAGGCTTCCTGTCTAATCGAACGTCGACGTCTCTAACGCTCTCCGCCACATCCTCTTACTATTACGTCTAGTTATTTTTACAAATATTTGTGTAAAGCGGAGCCGTTTACATAACTAAGACTAGTATTTGCGGGATATCACAAAATATTCCCAGATGTTTAATTTCGGAGACACATGCTTACCAACATTTATACTGAACGTTATCTTGAACGCCATTAAACAACTATGATTAAATTTAAAATTATTCAGACGTTCTTTCAATATTTTCATATGATCCTAACAGAACCCAGTTTGTGGTGAGGCACACCTTTAGGTGTACCACAGGTCTAAATCCATAATTAGCTACAGCCCAAAATGAATCCTTTATTGGGGTAGCCGAAACGATCCTGTAAATGTTCTCAACGGCAGCAGATAAGGATGATGACCCGGTGATGACGTCGTAAAGTTTTCGGATGCCTTCGTGTTCGGCATTTAATTACTCGAGCAAATTAACTCGGACAATTGCCGACAATGTATATAATCTGGGACCCGAAAGCCTAAGCCGACACCATTGTAAATGTTAATAAATATTTATGGTCTTTCCGAGGGGGATTATCGGCGACGGGGTTGTAAATTCCACTACAAAGGAAGTGATGGGCATAAAAGTAACGTGTCGGTGTCTAAAATATACCGTGGGATATAGAAATTGCAGCACACAGTAAAGATTGTTCAGTAGGCACTAAGTCTGGTGACCTTGAGGATCACGAAGAAAGTTTCAAGTATGATCTGTTCATAGATATAAGAAAATGACCAATTGCGTTTGAAAGGATTATCCAAGGGTGGTCATTAACATACAATGCAAAAAGATTATTATTATTAATTAAGGTAATTATTAATTAATTTATTATTAATTATTTATTATAATTTAATAAATTATAAATTATATTATCTATTATAAATAAAGTAATAGTCTAATTATTTTTAATTAAGGTAATTATTATTTACTAATTATTAATTATAAATTAAAGTAACAAGCTTGTTGCATTGTGTGTTATTGACCACCCTTGGATAATCCGTTCAAAAGCAATTGGTCACTTTCTTATATCTATGAAGAGACCATAACTGTAGCGATATATGGTCTTATTCATATCATTATCATATCATAACGACGCCCCTAGTAAGCGCTGACGCTCCGTGCAAAATTGAGGTTCTACGGCCACATGGAGCCATATCGAGCTCACAAACATAGTACACGTCACTTATTCTGAGTCCGTTGTTAACACTATGCTAGACGTTTCTCATTGTCCCGCCGCCTCCCGATTAAAGATACAATACCAATCGATGATTTACCTCGTGTAAAATCTGTCGCCCCCCGCCACTCACGTCCCATTGGACTGGTGGTCTTTCTTTCCGAAAGGTTATCCCAACCTCTCGTGGGCCTGAGAATCTACCCCGTTTAATTAACTGCATGTCTTCTTAGAGGAGGTATTCCTAAATGATGTTTCCAATACCTTTTTCTTCTTCTTCTTCCTATTACACTCATTCAGTCATATGGGAGGTTGTCGCCCCCACCTATTCCTAGCTCTTCCAAGGCTCCTTCGTCCTGTTGGTGATTTGTCACTCGATATTTTCACTATTCGTTCTTCTGTCTACGATCAATATGTTCATTTTATCTTTTCATCCAACACCCACACCCCCGCACACTCGTTTAATATCTAATATCTCATAATCATAGGAGAGTATAGGTCTAATAGCAATTTTATATATCCGGGCTTTTGGCTGATGGTACAGTTCAGGTATGCTGCTGCCATAGACGCTCTTGTAGCTTGATTCCTTACTCCAGTCTCAATATTTCCGTATTCAGATATTTCAATTTCCAAATATTTGAATTTCATTTCCTGTTATATTATTTTGTCCTCAACCACAAGTGACCATCGATTTTGTTTTGCCGCTGATATAATCGGGTATATAATGGCGGGTACATATGGGACGATAATTTACTGCTGATGTAGGTTAGTGAAACGACGATAATTCGCGTCGGGCGACAAGAAATAAACCACCTGTACAAAATACGATCGACGGAACGCGGCGTGACAGAGCTCGTGGTCTTGATGGCGACATACAGGAAGCGAGGTCGTGGGCGATATGCAGCTCTCGCCGCCCCCGTGCACACGCGGCACTGGCGCGCGCGGTTCGCGTATGATTTGCGGCCGCGCTCACGCACGGTTCTGTAAAAATCATATACAGGGTGTGGCCCGCGGCCGAAAGCTAGGCGAGGGCCTATAATTCAAATATCGCGTATACCTCCAAATCATGAGCATTCAGTGCTTTTTGATATTTGAAATAAATATCTGCAATATTTGCACGATATTTCTGATATCTGAAATGTATCCCGCAATATTCAGAATATTGCAAATATTTACGGAAGTATTGCCAAATTTGAACTAATTGCATTATGTCATATACAATTGTCGGAGTATTTCAAATATTTGCGATATTTTTCATGCTTTTTGATATCTGAAACTTGCAATATTTC